TTTCGATGGTTATAAACGAAAAATCACGATTTAATGGTTATTATAACTCCGATTTTGATGATTTTTTACAGCTACACTCCTTGACCCTAAATGAATACAATGAATGAATTCGATCTTCAATTTAAAATATTTACACTAGTGGATACCACAAAATCTTATGTTATACTTGATGAAAGTATAAATAAACTCTTAAGTGTTAGTGAATTTATCGTTTTGATGGGATACGCATCCTACGAAACTAATTTCAACGATCCAACCGTCAAACTTGTTTATATATGCTTTGAGATCGCATACGCCAAAAATTGAAAAAAAAAAACATTTAGAGATCAAGTAATGAGACAAAACTTTTCGACGGTTATAAACGAAATATTACGATTTAATGGTTATTTTAACTTCGATTTTGATGATTTTTTACAGCTACACTCATTGACCCTATATGAATACAATGAATGAATTCGATCTTCAATTTAAAATATTTACACTAGTGGACACCATAAAATCTTATGTTATACTTGATGAAAGTATAAATAAGTGTAGATTTTTAAAAATCTCATGAACAATGTTATTTATTTGAGTGAAAAATTAATAATAATAAGTGTGAAAAATGTAATCACACGTAATGAAAAACTTTACAACGTTCATTAAGGGGTCAACTCCGAAATTTAATATGTATATACTAATTTAGTATTATGTTTTACATTTTTTTGGGCCAAATTATGTTTTTCTTTTCATTTTTATTGATTTAAAATATAATTTTCTTAACGGGTAACGGGTCGGGTCATATTACCTGATAATATTAACGGGTTGATTTCGGGTCGGGTCATATTACCTATTTACTTTAACAAGTATTACACGACACGACCCGTTAAGCTATCGGGTATGATACGAAAATGACACGAACACGAGAAACACGACACGAATGCCAGGTCTACCAAAAAGATGTATTTGTATGGGATTCCAAAATGGTTCATTGAACTTAAAAGAAAAGAAAAAGCATTGGGGTGGGATTCCAATCCCATGGAAAAGGCTTTTCTGAAATTCAAAAGAAACAGAAAGCAGAAGCAACAAGTACTCGTTGGTCCCTCCTCCGTGTGAAAGTTCTCCTGAGGCAACTGTTATGGAAGGAATCCTAGGATGCTGCACAACAGCCATGCTTAACTAAATGTCAAAAGCAGCAGCTATGTTTGAAAGATGGTGCAGCCATGTTTAAAGAAAAAGATGTCTTCATTTGTAGTAATTACTGTTGAGAATGAGTCTCACATTGATGGAAGAAGGCTACTTCCCATATTGCCAATTGGTTTTATAGTGGAACTTCAATTTTCTTTATGGTATTAGAGCAGTTTGTCCCACGTGTGAAACCAAACGGCCACACGCGCTTAACGTCACCCGGTTGTGTTGTCTACGCATTAGGCTTGAAATTCGTCACACGTGAGGAGGCGTGTGGAGAATGATTTCCACATTGATGGAAGGAGGGACCTTGCATGGGCTTATAAGAGGTTGAGCTACTCCTCTTATTGCCAATTGGTTTTATGATGGAACCTCAACTTTCTTTAATTACATGTCCGCTAATGGATGAAGATGACTAACTAAAGTGCTTCTACGTATAGAAGTGAACGCAAGCATTCTGAAGTTGAACACAGAGGAGCAAAGAAGCAGCCAAACGGCTCCTCCTACCCCCTAAGTCAAGTCAATTGTCAGCTCCTATCTACGGAGTTGTCGTATGGTTAATTCACACGGACAAGAGTCCCATTCGAAGAAGAGACAAGCCGCAATAAAAAGGGGAAGAGGGTCAAAACTCAAAGTTTAATGGGTGGTATATAAAAAATATCCATCAATTTTATTTAGGGAATTTTGTGCAATTACCACTTAAACTTAAAAGCATGTGCGCCAATACACCTGAACTTTCAATTGTAGTTTTTAACTATTTGAACTCTCTTAGTTGTTGGAAACTACCATCTACCGTTACCTTCCATCCATTTTGTCATTAAAGCATGTCACTTGTAGGGGTTACATAAATTCATTGATTATGCTATAGTTATGATTGCATAGTCCTAAAACAGTTTATTTGTGGGATGGCAAACCAACTGATGAACAACGTCAGGCCTCCAACTGTGTAGATTAGGGAACAACTTGTGAATCAAAATTCTGGTTGCTACTCTTCTTAGAGGGGTAAAATAATTGGTGTGATGGGAAAATGATGACTATCCGGTGTTTTTTGTGGCATGTAAAACTAGTTTTTTCATCATAACGATAGATTCATGATTTTTGTAATTCCATAAAGTTAAAAAAAAACATAAATCACCCATAGTAAACTTGTGCTTCATCAATTGTAACAAATAAGTTCAGGTAAATTAGGCATATACTAAATACCAATACTTGTGCTTCATCAAACATCGTTGTTTTCCTTTCTCTCCATGAAACCCTTCTATCCTGCTACAACAAAGACCCTTCCTCCTGATGTTGGTTTATCAGTTTCTTTCATATAAAGTGATTTGAGGAAATTTAGAAAGTTAATTGATGAAAATGCCCCCACAGGTGATATGTTTTAACCACAAAATGGATGGAAAGTAACGGTAAGTGGTAGATTCCAACAACTGATAAAGTTCAAGTGGTAAAAATACAAAATTGAAAGTTTAGGTGGTATTTGCACACATGCTTTCAAGTTCAGGTAGTACTTGTGTAAAATTCCCTTTTATTTAAGGGTGAAGTGGTATAAAACTGCTAAATCCCACACACATATCCCCTCGTTTATATCTAATCACAAGCAAAGAAAAATGTAAAAGAGGAAAGCAATGAATTAAACCCATGGTCCTCTCGAATCATGTTATGGTGACGGAGGTCTCGAAAGCAAAGGCTTACAATGCAAATGCCATTAATTCTATTTGACAATAAAAGTGGTATAAACCCATGAAAGCTTTGTTGGCGGAACAACAGTCAGAATCAATTAAGTTAATGGAAAAGTAATTTCTAATAAAAGTAACTATACTTACGAAATAGATATGAATATAATCACAAGAATAAAAATACAAAATGCAATGAACTAACGGATTTTGCAGATTTGCAATGTCCTTGAAACAGAATTTCACCCCTACGCAATGCTTGTAGTTCTATAGGCGTCTACTCCACCAAGATTCAATTATCTATGATAAAAGTTTCAGCATCGAAACTTTGATTATGGCAAACTTATGTGTGTTTCTCTCTTAAGAAGTCTGCATGAATGAGTATGCAAATTGACTTATTTGATGTAAATATATAAGCAGTAAGATAACGTTTCACAACAGGTGTAACTGTTTGATTTTAATTCAAACAGCCACAACTGTTTGAAATAATTTGGAGTTTAAAAAATAATTAATTAGTCCCTAATTAAACGTTTAACCAATCAATGTTTTAATATGGAAAAAGGATGTAATTGGAATTTGTAACTTTGTCGGCCGATCTTCGAATTGGGTCTGCGATACTTTTTTGGAAAGGAAATGACACCACGTTGGATTTTAATCATCCGAGGTCATTTACTAGTCCAAAAATGCATCTAAGTTTTGTAACGAAATCGGACTTTCCGTTTCACATCCACTTTTTGTTCCAGATACTTCCGAACCTTTCCAAGACTGAAATTTTAACACAAACATTGTTCTTTAACATCAACAAGCTTATGGGCAAACTCTCATAAAAGACTTTGAAGTGGATATAGGATAAACCAACAATATCCTTGGGGGTTATTTCAAGTTATGGCCATACGTCAACCTGGTCGTACAGTTAAATCCTAGCAACTTAACGAGTGCGACACCATCCATTGGATGGCATATTCACTTGCTTGTGCCCACCTACAAGCAGAATAGGAAAAATATGGAAATGAAAAATGTCATCCCATAATTCCTTTCAAACTCAAGGCATCAAGCCGAGTTCAAATATCAAGTTCAATCGGTGGCCTATCATCATCGCAAAGACGTCTATTAATTGGACTTGACGATGAAATAGCACAAAGTCGCTTGAAATTTTAAATGGCCCAAAGCAGCTTCAAATTTCTAATGACACAAAACTACATCAAATCTCAAATAGTACAAAGTTGCTCCAAATGGCACAAAGTCTTTGCCTGCACAAGCTAAAACTGCACAAGGCATCAAACGCTTCTTGCCTGCACAAGCTGAAACTGTGTAAGGCACCAAATCCAAGTAAACAAATCTTTCTTTTTTAGTGAGTCATTCACTCATTGAAAATAACGAACTATGTTGATATGACTCCGCCAAGGAGACATAAGTAGTCTAGTACCACATCCTAGACGTAATCGCAAAACCAGAATACCAAATTGAATTCCTGGTTCATTCAACCAAATTCACCACAAGTCCAAATTGAATATGTGGTTCATTCAGCCAAATTCACTCAAACAAATTCAAATAAACCAAACACAAAACCTTTCTTTTTTTTTTAGTGGGTCATTCACCCATTGAAAAACTCAAACCAAGTCATACATGAACTACGAGTGGCTTGATCCCTCGCAAATGGTACGTAGGCAATCTAGGGCATGACTTAGGTGTAGCTGCAAAATCAAACAAAAACCCAAATCTCCAAGTCACAATTTATTCATATTGCAATCAAAGGGTTTTTCCTTTTTAACGAAGAATTGTAATTAATAGACTCATAGTCTAGACTGGATCGAACTCAAATTAGTAAAACCCTTTTTGAAAACATGTACGAAGGTAAAATTATGTCGAGTGAATTATTTATCTACATCTTGTGTACAAACTTTTTTTCTCAACATAGTCGATAGTGGAAAAACAATGGACCCTCCTAATCGTGATACACATTTCATATTAGAAAAGTTTTACACAGTAAGGTGCGGAACCCCTACCACTGGTCTATAAAAAAAACCTCTCTCACAACCTCACTCCCATGCTAAATTGCTAATATCAAAGAGTGCAGAACAAAACACAATGGGATCCCGCCGGTGCTTGTTTGTGTCCAATATGTGTTATATACTTTCAAAAGTTGTGTTGTTTCATCTCATGGTTGTTAGCTCATCAGTTTCCTCATTGCAGCAATCTTGTCGCGACGATGAGAGGACTGCCTTGCTGCAATTCAAGGAAAGCTTCATCATTAACAGATCTGCCTTGTATTCTGATGACGATTATCCAAAGATTTTGCAATGGAAACTAGCTGAGGAACAAAATGGCAACTGCTGTGCATGGGATGGCATTGTGTGTGACGAGAGGACGGGTCATGTTATTGGCCTTGATCTTAGTAGCAGCTGTCTCCTGGGCTCTATCAACTCCAACAGCAGCCTTTTCTGGCTTGTTCAGCTTCAAGTGCTGAACCTCGCTGACAACCACTTCAACTACTCTCGAATTCCTACTAGCATTAGGAATTTCCCTAGGCTCATGCATCTTAATCTCTCTAATTCTTTATTTTCTGGCCAAATCCCATCCCAAATTTCACAGTTGACCAAATTGTCGTCCCTTGATCTGTCTTTGAATCATTTAACTGGTCCAATTCCTTCTATAGGAAATCTCACCCACCTCACAAAACTATTTCTGTCTTCGAATCAGTTAACCGGTCCAATTCCTTCTCTAGGAAATCTCATCCACCTCACAGTAGTTTCTCTATCTTCAAATCAGTTAACCGGTCTAATTCCTTCTCTAGGAAATCTCACCCAGCTCACGAAACTTTCACTGTCTAGGAATCAGTTAACCGGTCAAATTCTTTCTCTAGGAAACCTCACCCACCTCACAAAACTTTCTATGTCTTCAAATCAGTTAACGGGTCCAATTCCTTCTATAGAAAATCTCACCCACCTCACGAAACTTTCTCTGTCTAGGAATCAATTAACCGGTCCAATTCCTTCCCTAGGAAATCTCATCCACCTCACAAAACTTTCTATGTCTTCGAATCAGTTAACCGGTCAAATTCCTTCCCTAGGAAATCTCACCCACCTCACAAAACTTTCGTTGTCTTCAAATCAATTAACGGGTCAAATTCTTTCTATTGGAAATCTCACCCACCTCACCAAACTTTTTCTGTCTTCAAATCATTTAACCGGTCCAATTCCTAATTCCTTATCCAATCTCATCAATCTCGAGGCATTAGATCTAACTGATAATAATCTGACTGGTACAGTGGAGTTCCACATGTTTCATAAGTTACAAGGGCTCACCAAATTAAAACTATCTCGTAACAGTTTGAAATTTTTTACAGAAACAGAAAGTACGAATGCAAGCCTACTTCCAAAGTTAAACTTTCTAGGATTGGGTTCGTGCAACATAAGAGAGTTCCCAAGTTTCCTGCAGTATCAAGAAACATTGGAGTACTTGGACCTTTCCTACAACCATTTGCATGGTGAAGTACCAAAATGGATGTTGAACACAAGCACAAAGACTTTGACGTACATGGACATTTCTCACAACTTCCTTTCAAGCATTGTCCAGCATTCAAATGCCTTTCCTTGGGTTAACCTACAATTTTTAGAGCTCCAGAATAACACGCTACATGGGCCGCTACCGATGCCTCCACCACACACAGTTCACTATCGTGTTGCAAACAACAATCTAAATGGAACAATTTCACCATTGATCTGTAGTATGACTTCTCTTCAGCTCCTTGATCTCTCCAACAACAATATGAGCGGAACGCTTCCCCCCTGTCTTGGAAACTTCAGCGCTGATCTGCGAGTTTTAAAACTTGGAAACAACTCTTTCAGCGGTTTTCTTCCTGAAACATACACCAACACAAGCAGTCTGAGGTTGATTGATGTTAGTTATAACCAATTGCGAGGGCAACTACCAAGGTCATTGCGGAACTGCATGACACTTGAGTTTATTGATCTGTCACACAATAAATTCAGCGATGTTTTTCCCTTATGGTTGGGGGCTCTTCCAGAGTTAAAACTTTTGGCAATGCACCAGAACGCGTTCCACGGTCTGATAGAGGAACCTGATCATGACAATGTTGAATATTTCCCTGCGTTGCGAATTCTGGATCTATCTTTTAATAGTTTCAGAGGCAAGTTTCCGTCTCAAAACATCTTTTCCGGGAATGTCATGAGGGGTGTCACTCGAAACCAGTCAACATATATGAAGGTAGACACAACTATTGATGCTCCTAGTCTTAAGGTAATCTTTTATACATTTTACTCAATCACAATAACTAGCAAAAGTGTGGAGAGACATTATTCGAAGATTCAAGAAGCCTTTGCAGTGATTGACATCTCAAGCAACAAATTTGAAGGGAGGATTCCTGAATTTATTGGGAACCTAGAGGGGCTGATCTCATTCAATATATCTGGTAATCTCCTAACTGGTCCCATCCCATCATCTTTCGGGAATTTAAGACGGATTGAATCACTGGACCTTTCACAAAACAAGCTTTCAGGACAAATCCCTCAAAGCCTCACGCAGCTTACATTCCTTGCCATATTCATTGTCTCTAACAACAATTTGACAGGTCCAATACCGCATGGAACCCAACTTATCTCATTCGGTAGCGGTTCATATGAAGGAAACCCTGGATTGTGTGGAGATCCTTTGCCAAAGAAATGCGGAGATCCTAAGGCTCCTCGCCTGTTGCCTTCAAGAATCGAAGAAAATGATTCAGGCTTGTTTGAATTTGATTGGAAATTTGTTTTGGCTGGACTCGGTAGTGGGTTGGTAGTGGGAGTTGTTCTTTCGGATGTGGTGATCACAAAGAAGCATGAATGGTTTATTGAGATTGTTAAAACCATCAAACTGATGATAGGAAATTCATAAGTCCACTATAAGGTTATGCATTTGGTGTTGTTTTTTGCTTGTTTTATATTATTTCTTTGTACTCCTTTTTAAAGTTATGTCTTCCTTTTGCAATATGGTATATTAGTTCCACAAAAAGTACAAACCCAACTGAGAGGCGGCATTGTACTGTAAGATGAAGTGAAACTGGTACCGGGCAGGATCACCTGCCATGTATGTAATAATAGAACATGAATTCATGATTCTATCGAAAGTAAACCAAATTTAACAACAGATAGATATTAGAAACAGTTTAACTGCCAAAATTGCTAGTCAAGCAAAAACACAGCAACTCACATGAAATATCAGAGTTATCTAATATGTATTAGAGGCAATCCAAGGTTCAAACAATCATATATGAGGTTCGTTCACACAACAATAAATAAGGGTTCATAAAAACAAAATTCACACACGAGTTTGTGCCTGAAAACTAGGCCTAGTAATTTCTGACACGACCCGTTAACCTAACACGACACGTCACGAAATGAACAGGTTTTTGGATCGACATGATAACAAATCGAGTGGTTATCGAGTAACCTGTCAAGATAACGGGTCGATCTAGGTATACACGTGGGTAATCCGTTACACAATAACATTAATATTTATTTAATAATTTTATACCACTGAAAAAATAGTATAATTAACAACAATAGAATTTAATAATTTTATACCAGTAAAAAGAAATATATATATATATATATATATATATTTTTTAAATTAAATTTAGAATTTGATGATCGTTGGATTGATTGAGATTTAATGTTGGTTGTCGAATGTTTTTCTCAGTCCTAAATCATACTTTCTCTCATTCTCGAAGGCTTGAATTGAAGCAGCCGCTCTCTTTCCATTGAACTGAACTCTCGAATCTTAGTCTCGAACCTTAACTTCAGCCAACCACGAGTCTACACCACCCTTTCCAGTCTCCCTCCACCACACCATTCTCACCACATACGACCTAGTAACCCACCACTAGTCTATCTACTACTTTTGTCTTTGATTCTCTCTCTCTGGATCGAGTGAATCTTGAGTTCTAATCTAGGTAATTGTTAATTCTTTCAAATTACTTTCAAAATATAGGGCTTTGCTTCAAATTAGTTTTCAAACTTGGTTTCGTATCTTCAATTTGAGGTTTTTCATTTCTAGGGTTTGTGAAAAATTGGGTTTTTTTCGTTCCGAATTAGTTTTTGAAATAATATTTTGTGGCAATGTAGTATACGCAAATTTAGAAGGAAAAAAAAAATTCTTAACGGGTCAGGTCGTTCTACATTTTGGGTAAAATGACCCGACCTATTAAGAACTCGTAAAGATAATGGGTGTGACACGACACAACCCGTTAAGATAATATGTGTTACACGAAAACAACAAACACGATCCGTTTGCCAGGCATACCGAAAACGCCTATTTAATTGGGTAAAAAACCAAAAGAACTTCCAGGAGCAAGTTCATACAAAATCATTATACACAAGCTCAAATCCTAAATCTTTGTCTAAAGGAGCAACTTTGACTTTTGTTCAAATTGAAACTCTTCAAGCCTAGAAATGATTTGATAAATAGAAAACTTCATTTAATCCCTAAAAAAGATTATTTTTTCAATAATATTGTATGTTAGATTAAAAACTAAAAATAATCCTCCATGTCACATTTAATTGTTGCAGTCATATTTAGAATATGAATGTGATTGTGTAAATCCTAGTAGATATGAGAATGTATCTTACATTCCTATTAGGAGTAGATTACATATTAAGAGTTGTAATCCTAAAGGGTAAGGAATTAACTTTCCCTACTATTATAAATAAAGTCACAAAGGGTGGAATAGAACACACCCACAATTATACATCTCTCTATTCTTCTCTTTTTGCCGCACCCTCTCTCTCTCTTTCTGACCTCCATAATTGTTCAGTAAATTATGCCTACAACACGTAATCAGCACGCTCTTGACACTGCGCTAACAAGAGAGTTTGATCTTCAATCAGGAGAGTATTACATTTTAATCATTCTTATTATGGTTAATTTATTATTTTATTGAATTGATCTACATGCTATTGATTCAATTTCTTTTTTCTTTGTTGAACGTGATACAACACATTGAAGATATTTCGGCTTTCCGAGAAGGATCTTCTACAAATTTAAAGGTTTTTTTTGTTTTCTGCTAATCAGGTACGCTTAAAATAAGAAGGATATTTGAAACGTCCACGAAGCATGAAAAACATTCCCCATAATGCATGAACCTCCTATGTTTACATTTTCCTTCCAATATATATATATATATATATATATATATATATATATATAGTATATGTTCATATATTTGTCAATATATATATTTGTTTTATGCATCGCATAATTAAATTGTTATGTGAAATTTGTGAGTCAAAGTATCAAAATAAATTAGAAGCAATTAGGGTTTTTCAAACCCTATATGTCGGGAAAAAAAAAAAGAGAGAAAAAATCGTTAAGCCGCGCTCAACTGGCTTGAAGCCAAGCCAGGACAGCAGCTCACATATGGGTTTTTCTGTGCAAAGAACTTAAGCCCACACGCTGGGCTTTTCTTACCTGACAGACTTGCGGCCCTCGGCCCGCATATCACAAGCCTGCTGCTTATGATATTTTTCTCTTTCGGCCCGCATACCAGCCCGGCCCATCTTTGCTGCACGCCTGCAGCCTGCATGCAAACTGGGCTGCACAGCAGCCTTTCCCAAGCCTGACCCGTACCTCTTCCCCTTCGCCCGCTTGCAGAACTGGGACCCATTGCAGCCAGCAATTACATGCTGGGCTGCATACCTTTTTCGACCCGACGCCATATTTTGGCATCCCCCGCTTCTTAACCATACCCAAATATTTTTGGACGTTTTTGGTTAAAGCCTCATTAGGCTATATTTTCTTAATTATTTGGCATGAAGCTATCTAAAGTGAATATGACCTGAAGTCATTATTTTTGCTTCTACAATCGATCATGTTTGGTCCCGATTTATTGAATTAATTAAAAGTGACTTGCAGTCTATTAATCTGATAATGAATCCAAAATTATTGAATTGAAAATCACTTTTGGACATTAACGATTCAATAATTTATTTTTATACTTTGAACCGTCACATACTTTCGTAGTAACGAAACTCTCACACTTGAGTTCCCGAAGAAACTCAAATCCACTATACTTAAATCAGCATATTACATTATGTGTTTCTTACAGGAACCTCTTATTATGAACTAATTGTTCCTAAAACTAAATTGAACTTGTAATTTCAAATTTAGTGCTTTTGAAACCCAAAGTTTTCATAAAACAACACACCCATGAAAACCCGACATTTTTCATGAAAACCATGTCTTAGAACTCGAATGTTCTAACTTTGATGCTTATGGTTGATTCATTCCCATATCACTAATCACAATCTTGTTCCCTCCAATTTAGTGGATTGTCGAACTGTAACAAGTTCGATTTTCCTGATTTGGACGTTTCTAATAGAAATCACTTTATGTGGGGTACAAGATGTGAATCTCCACTTGACTATCAAGAAGTTGAGAAACCATTGAAGCCAACAATGGCAAGGAAGAGTTGAATAAGCCTCCGCCATGATCTTCATTTGAAAACTTATGCCCGAAGCATTATCAATGGAAACCTCCCGAACGAGGATTTCATGGCTCTTTGGCTCGTTCTTACAGACCGTGTGATCATGCGACATATTGCCCAAAGCACACCATGATTACGTCCATGAATGAGTACAATTCTGAAGTTTATAAATCTGATCAAATTTTGATTGGAGAATATTTTTCTCATCCTTCCATGTTTCTAACTTGCCCTTGAAGCAGCAGTGTAGAAAGCGGAAGTTTACCACATTCTCGGGTCTGATTACTACCACAAACATATGGTAGAATCAGGGTCTGCCAAGGTGTGGCATCATGCCCGAAGCGTGATCCTTGGCACCTAAGACCTAAAACTTCAAGAATAAGGGATCATATTCCCGAACTTTAACCCTGCAGAATCTTTTTCCGTCTTGATGGAATAGATATTTAGTTATGCACCTGTTCGTGCCCCTACCAATGTTGTTAAGGAGTACCATTCTAGTAGTCAATATGTGAGAATAATTTTGCTCCACAAAAAATTGTTGGAAGAGCAGAATTTTGACATGAATGGCCTTGTTGGCCGGATCCACCATAGTAACTTTGGTTTACTTTGTGAACATTTTTTCCATGTTCTTGGATTCAAGTTTGGTGTATGTTTTACTTATGAATAATCTTATTGATATTGTCCTCGAATGTGAGTACATGTGACCAGTTCAATTAAACACGTGATTAGGTTGGAATGTGAGAAAGTTAGTTGTCTGGATGAATAACTTTACACCTAAATCACATTTCTAACAACGACTTCAGGTCTATCTAACTTGATTAAGAGCAATGGCACGCTCCTCGTTGTATGAATGGTACTGAATCACCATTTAAGGGACCTTAAATTCTCCCTGACGTTGAGTTTTTAAGGATATTCGAGATGACAATGATCATAAATGAAACCATTGAAGAAAATAGAGTGAAATATCTTTGCATCACCTCCAAAAATGAGCCTGAAGCTTTGATTTGGGGTCAATGGGTTGTCTTCCAACTGGGAATACACCACATGTGGCCGGCTTGGAGCTTGGTGATTGAGCAGTTTACTTGCTTTGGCACGACCTTTTAGGACACTTAGGTCGAACAATGATGCTACAATGCATCTCCTTATCTGAAAACAGGATATTGTGCCTACAAGCACACTTTGCCAAGCATGCTCATTAGGAAAATTGATTTTCAATATCATTCCTCGCAAAGATATGACACGACTCTCTTTTCACAGTGGATTCATAGGAATACATGTGGACTAATCTAACCAAAATGCGGACCATATAAATACTTATGGTTTTGGTTGATGAATCGACAAACTGGTCACATGTTTGTCCACACACATTGCTGCTAAACCTCATGGCCGATTATGGGTTCACCACCCTATTTTTCCC